GGAAGAGACTGGACAAAAATTGTACACCTATGGATGTGGACAGTGAGGGGGGTGGTAAGGGCAGAGGGTGGGGTGAGAACCAGGTGGAGGGGAGCTGGAGGGGGGGGAGGAGATAAACTATTGTAAAAATCTGAACAATAAGATTTTTTTTAAAAGGAATTATATATACATCTTATTATTGGGTATAGAAATATCCAACAACCCATCCTCCCCCTCCCAATTGCTATTCTTCCAAGTTACTTTGACTTTAATTTTCCACATAAATTTTAGGATAGACATCTCAGCCTACATTAAAAAATCTCTATAGGAATTCTGAATGAAAATTGTTATCTTGCCGAAGCCGGTTTGGCTCAGTGGTAGAGTATTGGTCTGCGGACTGAAGGGTCCCAGGTTCGATTCCGGTCAGGGGCATGTACGTTGGTTGCGGGCACATCCCCGGTGGGGGGTTTGCAGGAGGCGGCTGGTCGATGTTTCTCTCTCATTGACGTTTCTGGCTCTCTATCTCTCTCCCTTCCTCTCTGTAAAAAATCAATAAAATATATATATTTTTAAAAAAAAAGAAAAAAAAGAAAATTGTTATCTTTACACTATTCAGTCTATCATCTATGAGTACTGAAATTCCATTTATTCAAATCCTTTCTTATTCTTCAACTAGAGGCACTGTGCACTAAATTCATGCATGGGGGTGGGAAGGGGTGAGGGAGTTATCCCTCAGCCCAGCCTGCACCCTCTCACAATTTGGGAACCCTCAGAGGATGTCTAACTGCCAGACTAGGCCAGGTCCTGTAGTCAAACATCCCTCTAGCAATCCAGGACCGCTGGCTCCTAACCATTCACCTGCCTTCCTTCCTGCCTGATCACCCCTAACTGCCTCTGCCTCAGCCCCTGCTGCAGCGGCTTTGTCCAAAACGATACCGAGAAGGTCATTTGGCTGTCTGTTCTAATAAGCATATTGTGCTTTTATTATTATAGATATTCTATCATTGCCATAGACTAATGTAATGTTTTAAATGAATACAGAATACACATTCTCAAGCACAATGCAACATTCTCCAGGAGATGCTATATTCTGAGCCACAAAATATCTCAAAAACATTAAAAGCAGCAATATTATATAAAGTGTGTTTTCTAACTACAAAAGAATTTTTAGAAATCATACAAAAAATCTGGGGTAATATCAAATAAGAAAGCCACTCTTAAGTAAGCCATATAGGTCAAAGAAACCAAATGGAATATTAGAAAGTATTTTCAAATGAATGAAAATCAACTAGAGTTGCTGATTTATTCTCCTTTATATATAAGACAAAAAGGAAATAAGAGTTTTAGCATTCTTCAGAGTGACAAAGAAAAATAGCAACTAGATATAATCTCAAGTTACACATTTATTGAAATACTAGAGGCCAGGTGCATGAATTCATGCACCAGTGGGGTCCCTCAGCATGGCCTCAGGGGATTGGGCTAAAACCAGCAGTGCAACTCCGCCTGTAGCTCCTGCCTGCTGCTCTGACTCATCCCGGCCCTGCTGCGCCTGTCGCAGGCTCGAACCCCATCATTCTCAATTGGGAGAGGCTCATGCCACTGCAGTGGTGCTCACCAGGCCTGAGCCCTGCATCTGGTGCCCATTTGTCAGCTGAGCATCACTCCCATTGTGGGAGTGCACTGACCACCAGGGGGCAGCTTCTGCATTGAGTGTCTGCACCCTGGTGATCAGTGCACATCATAGCAACCAGCCGTTTGGTTGCTTACTCTTTTACATATATAGATTATTAATCACAACTAGATAGCCCACAGATCCTATGGAAATTCCTTAGGAGACACAGTAAACTTCTGAAGTTCAAATGTCTCAAAAAGTTGCTTCATAGATAACCTTCAAGGACATTTATATAAGATACAAAATAGGATTTCACTATTCTATTGAGCACCTTATTAGCAATTCATATGTCTTCTTAGGTATAATGCCCATTCAAATATTATGCCTATTTTTAAAATTTGACTAATCTTACTATTGAGTTGTAAGAGTTCTTTATATATTACTAGTGGCCCGATGCACAAATGATGATTTGTGCAATGGGCATTCGTTCCCCTAGCTGCCGGCACTGCCTTCGCTCTGGCCGGAGCAACCTTTCCGCTCCAGCCTTTCTTCCTTCCCACACTGCCCAGAGGCCCGGAGAGGCTGGGATGGAATGGAACTGCCACATCATCACCATAGCGATGACAAAAGCATCCCATCCCTGGCCTCTCTGCCCCTGCATATGCAAGTTAACCCTCCATCTTTGTTGGGTTAATTTGCATTCTCATTCCTGATTGGCTGGTGGGAATCACAAAGGTATGGTCAATTAGCATGTTACTCTTTTATTAGGTAGGTAGATGCATCATTTTTAGTCTAAAACTTTTATCTAAAAAGTTTATTCCAAAAGGCTCTATTTTAGAATTTTAGCCCCTGTATAAATACCCTTTCTATATATTCAGAGTTCTTTTTTCCTGGAATTGCTAATTGGGAAAGATTACAATGTCTCGGAGATTTCATTTGCTATATAACTGATTAAGAAATGTAGGGCCTAAATAAATATGACTTGTTTTTAAAGAGAAAGAAACACAAATTTTCCATGTGAACATAAGGGTTATAAATTCTACTTTAACAATATAATTCTGGTAACTGTCTATATATTCCCCAAGAAAAGGGTCATGAGAATCACTAGCAGTCAGTCCTGACATTTTTAAGACAGTGAACCAAAGCCAGTAATTGCCTATCTGCAAATTCCTCTAGAACAGTGGGTTCTCAACCTTTCTAATGCCGCAACCCTTTAATACAGTTCATCATGTTGTGGTGACCACCAATCATAAAATAATTTTCGTTGCTACTTCATAACTGTAATTCTGCTACTGCTAATGAATTGTAATGTAAATATCTGTGTTTTCGGTAGTTTAGTAGCTGGTAACAAAAAGTCTGTGACCTCCTATCTGCTTGGTTTCCACAGCAAGGTTCCCTTTACCCACCCCAATTTTATTTTCAGCGTTGTTACATAATCTGAAAAGTTCCCTCTTGACCTTTCAAGCAGAAAGCTTAACTCTAGTTCTCCCCCTTTTTGTGTGGGACAAACTAGCAGTTGACACTGCTTGCTTTCAAACCTGGAGCCATTACTTCTACTCTACTTGGCACTTTGCATTACCTTTCCATTCCTGACTCACAAAGATATTTATTTTGATGCTGAGCCTATAATTATTATCATCATCATTATTATTTGGTGTTATAATATCACCATCATTACTAATGTATTCAGAGTACAAGAACAGGTGAAACAACCCAACCAGCCTGGTTTAGTGGTTGAGTGTCAATCACAGTTTAATTTCTGGCCAGGACACATGCCGGGATTGTGGGCTCGATCCCCAGAGAGGGGCAAGCAGGAGGCAGCCAATCATAGATTCTCTCTTATCATCTGGTGCATGAGATTCATGCCCTGACAGGGCGGGGGTCTCCCATCCCGGCCTGCACCCTCTCGCAGTCTGGGACCCCGGGGGGATGTCCTCCTGTTGGCTTAGGCCTATCCCTCTCACAGTCCAGGGCTCTTACGTTTCGGAAACCCTCGCTCCTTTCCACCCTCCTAGAGGTAGGCAGGAGAGGCTCCCGCCATCACCACTGTGCTTGCCAGCCATGGGCCCAGCTCAGGGCTTCTGGCTGAGTGGCATTTCCCTGTGGGAGCGCACTGACCACCTGGGGCAGGTCCTGCATTTAGCATCTGTCCCCCGGTGGTCCAGGCATGTCATAGAGACCAGTCGTTCTGCCATTAGGTTGATTTGAATATTAGCCTTTTATTATACAAGATTTTTTTTTATAAATATATTTTACTGATTTTTCACAGAGAGGAAGAGAGAGGGATAGAGAGTTAGAAACATCGATGAGAGAGTCATCGATCAGCTGCCTCTTGCACACCCCCTACTGAGGATATGCCCGCAACTGAGGTACATGCCCTTGGCCGGAATCGAACCTGGGACCTTTCACTCCAAGGCCGACGCTCTATCCACTGAGCCAAACTGGTTTCGGCTACACAAGACTTTTTTTTTTTATCTCCCTCTCCCTTTCTCTCTGAAATCAATAAAAATATATTTATTTAAATAAAAAGGTGAAACAAAGAAATGTAATGCACCATTTTGACAGGAAGTCATTCATCTATGTTTTTTTTTCTTTTAGTCCTAACTAGAGGCCCGGTGCACGAAATCTGTGCATCAGGAGACGGGGGTGGTATCCCCTCAGCCCAGCCTGCACCCTCTTCAATCCAGGACCCCTCAGGGGGTTTAGACCGGCTGCCAGACATCCCTCTAATAATCATGGACCGCAGGCTCCTAATTGTTCACCTGCCTACCTGCCAGGTCTCCCCTAACTGCCCTCCCCCCCCTCACCTGGTGCCCTAACTACCTTCCTCTGCTGGCCTGGTCAACCCTAACTGGTCCCCCTACTGGCCTGGTCACCCCCAACCCCCATTCTGGCCTGGTCACCCCATGCAGCCTGCTTGTACAGTTGTTTGGTCATCCCTCAAGCCAGTCCTGGGTGGATGGGCAGCTGACATCTGAGGCTTGCCTATGCCTCGGGCCAGCTCTGGATGGCTGGGGGGCTGAAGAAACTCGCAGAATGGGAAACTCCAGAAGCGGGTGTGGGGAGCGGACAGACCCACCTAGGGGCAGGCCCTGCCATGTCGTATGCCTGCGGCCCCAGCTGGGCTGATGGGATTGGGCATGCCATCTTGTGGCTGTGGGCACTGCCATCTTTGAGGACGTGGCAGTCAATTAGCATATTGGCTCTGGGTGCCACCATATTTGTGAGGGTGTGGTGGTCAATTAGCATAATCCATTTTTATTAGATAGGATAACTCTAGTCCTGAATCATTTATTTTGTTTTTACTAAAACATAAACTATGAATTAATTTCAAGTAATGACCAATTGAAAAGCATTTTCTTATATTATCATTTATTTAAAATGTGAAATACCCATTTAAATTACTTACCAATACTATGAAATTGCCATCGCTGATGAATTCTCTCTGGAAGAAGTTGCAAAATTTTCTAAAAATCAACATAAATAAAACAACAACCAAGAAAAAAGAATGAAAAGCAAGGAATGAATCCACATTCTGTGCAACATGAAAAATTAAAGAGCTTACACTAAAGCTTTAAGAGTTTCTTAGGTAAAAGATAATATCACAAATACAAGTTAGTATTGAGCTAAGCTGATATAACTGGAATTATTTCCGAAATGACATATAGTCAATATTTGAAAACCCTGAAAACAACAAACTATGTTAACAAAGACATGAAATAGTAAATTGATTTTAACTTTTACAATGATATGGAAAGTAATCATATTTCTCCATAGTGATTAAATACTAACTGCAATATATTTCAAAATTTACTATTATTTACTATTTTTAGAATTTCTGCATTGTGAATATTACTGATAAATTTTTAAATTCTTTCAGATATTAAGATTTGTGACATTTTCTCTCCTCAAATAATTCTTTCTGCTTTTAATAAATCATGAGGAAATATTCTGTTTTCACAAAAATCCCATGAAATATTTATATTAAGTTAATATATGTGAAGGCACTTATATTTTATGATAACTATAGGCTGAAGAACAAAAATTTTAAATTCAAAAGACTTTAGTTTTTAATATAGATTTCTATAATTGAAAATAAACACTTTTTACATATAATACTTTCAAAATTTTGCCTTTAATTTCTTTTATGTGTTGCATATGTGTGAATTATTCTAAATCCACAGCTGCTGTATGCACTATGTTGCTGAACTAAGCTCTCAGTACTCTACTTACTGAATGACATTTGTGTGTGTTTGGTGTTACTGCAGCTCTTACTTATTTAGTTACTAGAGGCCCAGTGTACGAAATTCGTGCACGGGCAAGGGGGTGTCTCTCATCCCAGCCTGTACCCTCTCCATCTAGGATCCTTCTCATAATCCAGGACTGCCAGCTCCCAAATGCTCACCTGCCTGCCTTCCTGATTACACCTAACCACTTCTGGTGCCAGATTGATGACCTCCTAACATCTGTCCTGCCAGCCTAATTGATGTCTAAATGCCCCCTTCCAGCCTGTTTGCCACTAACTCCCCTCCTCTGCCGACCTGGTCCTCCCAACTGCCCTCCCCTGCTGGCCATCTTGTGGTGGCCATCTTGTGTCCACATGGGGGCAGGATCCTTGACCACATGGAGGCAGGCTTCTTGTGTGTTGGAGTGATGGTCAAGCTGCATATTACGCTTTTATTAGATAGGATAGAGGCCGGGTGCATGGGTGAGGGCCAGCTGCTTTGCCCTAAAGGATGTCCCAGATCAGCGTGGGGGTTCCCTTGGGGCATGGGGTGGCCTGGGCGAGGGGCCAGCCTTCCCCCTGGCGACCCAAGCAGAGGCCTGGTATCTGGGATATGTTTATCTTCTACAACTGAAACTTTGTAGACTGGAGCGAAGCCAAACCTTCTGTTCGCTCCATGGCAGCAGCTTTTTGTGTTGGGGTTTATTCAATTTCTATAATTGAAACTTTATAGCCTGGAGTGGAGACCTAAGCCAGACAGGGCAGGTGGAAAGCTTGCCTTCCTCCTTTGCAGGGGGAATCCCTAGCCTGCTCTCTCCAGCTCACTGGCTGCTGCCATTTTTCTTGGGATTTATCTTCTATAACTGAAACTTTCTATTCTTGAGTGAACGCCTGGGCCAGCAAGGGTATCTAGAAAGCTTGGCTTCCTCCATTGCCAGGGAAACCCAAGCCTCCCTCCTGCTCTCTGTGGTGGCAGTCATCTTGGTTGGGGTTAATTTGCATACTTGCTCTGACTGACGGGTGGGCATGGCTTGTGGTGTAGTGGAGTGATGGTTAATTTGCATATTACTATTTTATTAGGTAGGATCAGAAACATCATTAACTGAATGTTCATGAAGGCTAAATACTAAACTAGATACTTTATATAACTGCATCTTATTAATCTTCACAACCAACCTAAAAAGTTTTTTAATCTCATTTGACAAATTAGAACATGGGTTAAGTAATGTGCTTAAGTTAGAAAGTAAAAGAACCTGGCCTGTGTGGCTCAGTGGATTGAGTGTCATCCCATGCACCAAGAGGTTACTGGTTCAATTCCAGGTCAAGGCATATGCCTAGATTGCAGGCCCAATCCCCAGTGAGGGGCATGCAGAAGGCAGCTGATCAATGTTTCTATCTTCTCTCCCTCTCACTTCCTCTCTCCCTAAAATATCAATAAAAAACAAATTTTTAAAAAAAGAAAAGCAAAAGATAAGCCTATTTCTAAAATTTGTGCTTTTATACTATTCTGCTCAAAGGATAGTATACATGTTTTACTCTTCTCTCATATGATCTCACACAAGATGATGAAGAAATTACAAAGTTCTTCATAGTTCAATGAGATACATAAACTTCTTTACCTTTGCTCTCTTCATTTTTCTCTCATAGTGATACAATTACATAATTATAACTATTTTGAAAAACAATAAAATTATTTTCAAAAGAAGTTTGTGACTATTCAAAAGCACTCCTAAATTATGATTATAAAATTATAATTTAGACTTAACCCCTCATAATATGTAAATGAACATGTCTACATGTTTTTATATGGTTAATATAAAAATGAATGAAATTTTGTGTACTCTTAACTGAACAGTAAACATCTTACACCATGTTATTAATATTACATAATAAAGTTTTCTACTCCAAAAGGAAGAGATAACTTTATAATGTCTTCATTAAAAAAGTTATCATTAGTCTCTGACGGAATAATATTCATTGTTTCCATTATAAGTAGAAAACACAACACACAAATTAAATTTTTTTTTCAAAAGATGAAAACCCTGTATCTAACATTATTCTTTCTTAATAAAATTTAGTGATTCATTAAAAACAGAGATTACTATTCAATGAATAATCAGTATACACCATGCACAGGGTGTACCAAAAAATGTATACATAAACTTTAAATAATTATCAAGGCAGTGTTTATTAAAATACATTTCATTTTTAAAACTGAGCTATTAGCTGTTAAAGTGTGTATAAATGTTTGGGATACCCTGTATATTAAACGTAGAAAAATAAATATTACTTTTTAATAGAAGAAATACCCTGAAAAGCTTCTATTAACTTATTAATCATTTCAGTTTCCTGAATATAAAGCAAGCATGAATGTCTTAAGGAACACTTTCTAGGAATTATCGTCTTGCTTTCTCTGTGGGTACTTTTATTCTTTCCCAAAACATCTATGTCTTAATATTTGCCTTGTAAACAATTCATGCAAACACTTGAGGTAACTAAGAGGGAATTCTTCAGGGTTAATGACTAATGAAATTAAATGAAGGTTAAGAACCAACATCAGTTACTTCCCTCTGGAACCCTGGGGGGGGGAAGAAAAAAAAAAGTTTCTTTTTCTAGCTGTGACTAAATCAATATAAATCAACAGCTAAAAGAGATATCAGATTGCTCAAATTCTTCTAAGCTATTTCAAAATACAAAACAATAAATTATCTTTAATTCACTACACATAGAACAGCCCAATCTTTAGAAAGTGATTTCCAAATTCTTTACTATGTCTTTCAAATCACAAGGTCTAAACCTGACACTCTCGAGATCTCTGAATTCTGCATAAATATCAAAAAACTCCTATCACTGTTTGATTTCAAAGACAGAAGGAAGAGCATGATGTTATTTTTAAAGCAGGCACGCAGTGGGTGGGGGTGAGGGCATCCTAATTTTTATTAATGTGGTAAAAATAAAACACAAATTTTAGGAAAAGTATCAAATGTTATTTCCTTCTGTTTATTTAGCAATAAAGACTTGTCATACACCCTCCAAAGTAATATAGGACAATAGTTTATAAAATATTTAAAACTGTTATACAAATTTGCAATAAAAAGCAGTTAAAGTAGAAACTATAAATTCGTTAGATATATAAACAGTTCCATAAAGTTATCCTCTCAGGTAAGAATATTTTAGAATTTTAAAAAACCCTGGAAGGTATGGCTCAGTTGGTTGGGCTTCATCCCATCCCAACCAAAGATTGTTGGTTCAATTCTTGGTCAGGGCACATGCCAGGGTTATGGATTCAATCCCCCAATAGGGGGTGTACAGGAGGATGCTGATCAATGTTTCTCTTTCTCCCTCTCTCCCCATTCCTCTTTCTAGTATCAATAAAAATATTCCTTTTTAAAACTTACATTTGTATAAACCTCCCTCAAATTAAAATTTTCATTGTTTACAAACACATTATATATATATATGTAAATAAATTTCATGATGTCAAATGTGTAAAAACATAATTGTATCTATACTTAAAAATAATATATGTACCTCAAAAATAAGAATTAAGTCAGAAATGTAAATCAGTTTTTGAAAAGCACAGCAGATTCGGTATTTTACTTAATATATTTGTATTGAATTCAGTGAGGAAGGGAAAGGGAGAGATAAAAACATAAATGATGAGAGAGAATCACTGATTAGCTGTCTTCCACACATCCCACTCCAGGGATGGAGCCTGCAACCCAGGAATATTTCCTAACCAGGAGTTGAACTATGACCTCCTGGTTTATAGGTTGACATTCAACAACTGAGCAACACCAGCCAGGCCACAGTGTTTTTATAGTTTATAGTTCAATACATTCCGTTGTATGTTCCAGGTACCACTTTTGTAAAAAAAGAAAGATTAGCAGGTTCTTACCTCAAAAATAAAAAGTATAGCATCCAATTCCTCCCTTTGAGACTTGTGACCTAAAACATTTTTACAAAAAAATATTTTAAACATTATCACTTTATCCTCACTGTTAACCACTTAAAATAGTCTAAAATATCTTTTGCAGTAAATATTTTTCTGTGATTTTTAAAAAAATAAAATGGTTAAAGTATACTCTGTTCAATGTAAACACAGTATCACATCATCTCTGTCTACTCTTTTTCAACAACTAAATTTAGACTACACATATTTATGTCTAAAAATAAGTCATAATATATTGTGGAAAACTTTAAATGAACTCTGAAACTGAAAATATAAAAATGACTGCTCAAACCTGATACATGGTCTAGGGCAGACCAAAGAATGTGAGGAAACAAGCAAATCATTCCAGGAAAAAGGCAAATCTCCTAAGCCTTTTCAAAATAATAACAGTACTGTGAACCCATAGCCGTGCAAGGAGAATTAAAAGCTATCTGCCAAAAAAAGAAAAAAGAAACAGTGCTAATGTCCAAGAATCTATTTTAAAGTGAAAATATATGACAATTGGGGAGAAGAACCAAGATGGCGGCATAGGTAATCACCTATGCTTGCTGCCTCTCACAACCACATCAAAACCACAACTAAATGGCAGAACAACTACCACCCAGAACTGCAGGAAAGCTGGCTGGGTGGAAGTTCCACAACTAGAGAGGTGAAGAAAATAGGTTAAGACCATTAAGAGGTGCGCAGGAGCGGAAAGTGCTGGCACCTGGATGTGCTGCTCTTTTATCCAGGAAGGAGATCCAAGCTACCACTTGCTCTGAACACAAATTCTGCATGAGACTCTGGGCGACAGAGGCACATACGGGGAGAAAAGACTATCTGGCATCGGGATAGGAACGTGAGGGGGGCTTACTCTTAGAGGTGCTCGCAGCGATCACTGTTCCTACACCGGGGCGCGGGACACAGAGAACCTACGATTTCTCCAGTTCAGGGCTGACTGGTAGCCAATGCTGTTTGCTCTGCTCAGGTGATTCCCAGAGATCCAGCCCCACCAAAGCTGTGCACATCGGCTTTTGCATATGAATGGCTGGTCCATTCACCTAAAACCTGTCAAACTGCAGCAGGGCCTGGTCTGGGCACTTCCAAACCCCATTTAAAGAGGAGGAATCTGCAGGTGTCTCTGTTGCTCCTGCTGAGCGGCCCCAGACAGTGGCTGACCTTGTACCTCCTTGGAGATTCAAGAGCCAGAGTATGTCAGAGTGAGACCATACAGATTACAACTCTCCACATCCATAAGAGACACACTAAATGGGGCAACTCAGTGAGCACCAAAGACCCAAAAAAGAAAGTCCTTCCCCATAAGGGTGTCTCCTGTGCAACAGATCTTCCAGTGTAGACACAGCTGGTCATCACAGCCAACTGGCCTGGAGGTCAATTCCTCCCAGTGATACCAACAACAATCAGGGGTTAACTACAACAAGACTGTGCAAACAGCCCACAAAGGGGTGCAACAAGAGCATCCACCTCAGGTGTCTGAGGAGGCTGAACCACTTGGCCCTATAGGACACCTACCACAAAAGGCCACTCAACTCAAGGAGACTTAGCAGCTACCCAGTACACAGAAACAAACACAAGGGAAGCAACCAAAATGCAGAGACAAAGAAACAAGTCACAAATGAAAAAAAATGGATGAACGCAAAATACTAGATATAGAGTTCAAAACCATGATTGTAAGGTTACTCAAGAATCTTCTAGAAACCTCCCAGAAATTTAGTAAGACCCTCAAGGATATGTAAAAGGACCAATCAGAAATTAAGCATATACTGGCTGAAATAAATAATACGTATACAGAGATTTAACAACAGATCCCAAGAATCAAGACAAAGATTTGAAATACGAAGCAGCAAAAAACACCCAACCGGAAGAGCAAAAAGAAAAACAGCATCCAAAAATATAAAGATAGTAATAAGGAGCCTCTGGAACAAATTCAAGCATACCAACATGCAATTTATGGGGGTTCCAAGCGAAGGGAGAGAGCAAGATATTGAAAATTTATTTGAAGAAATAATGACTGAAAACTTCCCCCCACCTGATGAAAGAAATAGACTTACAAGTCCAGGAAGCGCACAGAACCCCAAATGAAAGGAATCAAAAAGAACCACACCAAGAGACATCATAATTAAAATGCCAACAGCGAAAGACAAAGAGAGAATCTTAAAAGCAGCAAAAGAAAAAGTTATCTACAAGGGAGTACCCATAGACTGTCAGCTGGTTTCTCAACAGAAACTAAGCAGGCCAGAAGAGAATGGCAAGAAATATTCAAAGTGATGAATAGCAAGAACCTACAACCAAGATTACTCTACCCAGTAAAGCTATCATGTAGAATTGAAGGTCAGATAAAGAGCTTCAAAGATAAGAAAAAGCTAAAGAAGTTCATCACTGCCAAACCAGTATTATATGAAATGCTAAAGGGTATTCTCTAAGAAGAGGAAGAAAAAGGTAAAGATAAAAATTATGAACAACAAATTAACAACAAATAAATATCTATCAATAAGTGAATCTAAAAATCAAGTGAATAAAAAATTCTGATGAATAGAATAAACTGGTAAATATAATAGAATCAGAGGTTCAGAAAGTAAGTGGACTGATAATTCTTGGGGGGGGGGATAGAGGGAATGTGGGGGGAGTATGGAAAGATATTGGACAAAAATCTTATACCTATGGACAAGGACAGTTGGGGGGGAGGGGTAAGGATATGGTGTGGGGTGGGAACCGGGTGGAGGAGAGCTATGGGGGGGGGGGGGGGGGAAACAGCTGTAATAATCTGAACACTAAAGATTTATTTTAAAAAAGAAAAGAAAACATATGGCAATTACTGGAAACATCAACATAAACCAGAATCAATTTTTAACATCTTACCTTTCTGTTTCAGACTAGCTTCAATAGTCACGAAATTCTCAAAGAACACATAATAAATATGTGAAAAATGTTGGTCAAAAAACTGTTTAAGGTCGATAGACTCCGCATTCTCTGAAAAATAAATGAAAACAATTTTAGTGATTACAATTACAAATATATGTTAAATTATGTTAAGCAGATATGACAGTTGCAAGTTTTCTTTAACGATTTTAGCTTTAATTTTATAAAATGATCTAGTCATCACAATCTTTGTTTTGACAAAGAAAACAATGCCACAGAAAGACTTATTCAAAACCATAAACCAAACCAAAAAAAGAAGTCAAGTTCCATTTTGAATTCACAAATATGCCTCTAACTTCTCCCTTAAGACAGTTTAAAATCAGTATTTCTACAAATAATAATATATTGTGCCTAAAATACATGTTCTCAGTAAATAGGTATCTAGCAGGTTTTATAAATAAGTACTTAAGTATTGTAAAGCTTAAATACAGATAATAGTGCTCTAAAAGAACTGTCAGTGTAGTCGAGGGCACACAAAACTAAACATAGAAGAGTGGGCTTACAGTTGTGAGTATGTGAAAGTTTATTCTTATATTATTAATTATTGTATTACTTATTTATATTACAACTGTAAACCTACTTTTACCCACCCCTATATTATTGTACCCACAGTAGAAAGTGTTAGGATCTGAAAATGAAGTTACAAAGTATAATGGCAATTTAGAAATACAAAATTTCTTTCAAAGCTCAATGAGAGGTGAAAATGGAGAGAGAAAAAAATGCCTGAGGATATCTATACATATAAAAGCCTAAGCAACTGTGGCAACCAAATCAACTTAACGGACGACCGAACAGGCTGTGTAGGGGGACCAGGCCAGCAGGGGGGTTAGTGAGAGACACTAACTGCCCCCCTGTGCCAGCCTGGTCGCCCCACACAGCCTGCTGTTTGGTTGTTACTCTGAGGGCATCTTGACCAATTTGCATATTACCCTTTTATTAATATAGATGTCAACTAGATTTAGTGTGATTTTGCAATATATACTAATAGCAAGTTTTATATTTGACTTTTTTTATTTCATTAAAAGAAACTGTTTTGCAGCTGCATCTTCTATATCGCAAAGCACTCTATATCATTACTTAAATAATTGTTCAGATGTACCATTTTCAGATTTTTAAAGATGAATAATAATTTTTCTTAAAAAGATTTCACAAGAAATGGCATGTCTAAAATAAGTGGCTGATAGTAATATCCAACTTGCCTCTAGAAAGCTCTAAGGATAACTGATGAAAAAGCACTGATTACTGAAAACCTTGAAGCTACTGATTTAAAACTAGTGACCTGGTATAAGGATGCCTGCGTATTGAAAGAAAATTAATTAGAAGGCAGCCGGTGGGGCGGGACTGCATACACCCTGGAGCCAAGCTCCTGTGGTTCCTCCCTGGTTGGCTACATATAGCTTGAAGAGCATCTGTGGAGTGAGCGGGATCCCTCTGGCAGGTGGGGTCCCTCAGCCTGGCCTGCAGGGAGGGGGGAGGGGGGGAATCAGGCCAAAAATTGGCTCTCCAACATCCTACAAGGGGTCCTGGAGTGAGAAAGGGTACTCTGCAACATTGCTGTCATATCATGTGTGGAACGCAAATGTAAGTGTGCAGTAAACCAGATTCGGGGCTGACAGTGTCCCAGCATCAACATAACCCAAGGCTCAAGGTGTACTTTTACAGCTCCAAGAGGAATCAGGCTCCTCCTCTCTGGTTTATAGGCACGTCATCCAAGAACCACTGCTGCCAAGTCACTGCAATTCAATAACTCCTGTGTTGAGTGTCTGCCGCCTGGTGGTCAATGCATGTCATAGCTACCAGTCGGATGGACACTTAGCATATTAGCCTTTATATATAGATAACTAAAGGCCCAGTGTACAAAATTCATGTACGAGGGGGGGGGGGGGGGCGGCGATGGCGGTGGAAAGGAGGTTTGATGTCCCAGTCTGCATCCTCTCCAATCTGGGACTCCTCTAGGGATGTCCGACTGCCCGTTTAGGCCTGATCCCGGTAGGATCAGGTTCTAAACGGGCAGTCGGACATCCCTCTCACAATCCAGGAATGCTGGCTCCTAACAGCTCGCCTGCCTGCCTTCCTGATTGTCCCTAACCGCTTCTGCCTGCCAGCCTGATCACCCCCTAACCACTCACCTGCCAGCCTGATTGATGCCTAACTGCTCCCCTGACAGCCTGTTTTCCCCCAACTACCTTCCACTGAAGGCATAATCACTCCTAACTGCCTTCCTCTGAAGGCCTGGTCACCCCTAACTACCGTTTCCCCGAAAATAAGACAGTGTCTTATATTAATTTTTTTCTCCCAAAGTTGCGCTAGGTCTTATTTTCAGGGGATGTCTTATCTTTCCATGCGCTAGGTCTTATTTTTGGAGGATGTCTTATTTTCAGGGAAACACGGTACCATACCCTGCAGGCCTGGTCACCCCTAACTACCCTCTCCTGCAGGCCTGGGTTCCCCCCAACTTCCCTTTCCTGCAGGCCTGGTCGCCCCCAACTTCCCTCCTATGCCAGCCTAGTCAACCCTAACTGCCCACCCTTGCAGGCCTGGTCCCTCCCAACTACCCTCCCCCGCTGGTCTGATCGCCCCCAACTGCCCTCCCTTGCACACCTGGTTCCTCCCAACTGCCCTCCCCAGCTGGCCATCTTGTGGCAGCCATCTTTGACCACATGGGGGTAGCCATCTTGTGTGTTGAAGTGACAATCAATTTACATATTACTCTTTTATTAGATAGGATGTAGATAATGGCAACAATTTTTGGGTAACACCCAGGAACCACTTACTATCTGTGATATTGTGATTGAGGAAAGACTGAAGAAATTCAATTAAGTCACCATAGCCAAGCTAGCAAAATTCTTTAAGTAGAGCTGAAACATGAGTATAGATTTTTATTTTAACAGTGGTAGGTAGTAAGACAGACATGAGCAGGGAAAGGACAATGAACCAGGTACAGAAGATCACTGATGGGAAAAGTCCTGGGTGCCTAGCAATGAGCAAAACTGAGAAAACAAGGAATTCACTCCCAGAGTAACCTATCCTCCTTTAGCATATCACAGATACTGTGGTTTAGACCCCCTGACATTTCATATTCCTAGTTATGGGTTTGGAGGCTCCCTTGACTTTTCCTCTGCTGGCATGTACCTAGTCATGGGGTAGACCCCTTAGAGGAGAAACAAGGGGCGGAAGAGTGGCTTCATTGGACTCCCATGCAGACCCTTGTATGACCATTCCCTTAAGCATTATCAACAAGGGCTAACTTCTAGACCTCAGTTGTGTTTCAGCTCCAAGCCCAGAAAAGCAGTAAAACCAGACAAGGATGCCAGGGCTTATATCAGGACCAACTGAATTGACTAATGACTCCCACCCATGGTAAGGTCCAATCAGTAAAGGCCAAGACCAAGAAAGGACACATCTGGAAATCTTATATTCTAATAGTCCTTCCACTGGGACCTACCCTAAAAACTCCACCCTTAAAAACCCCGAGGGGAAAAAACCAAGATAAGGGCCTAGGTAAATGCAAGTATTCTCAGATTCCCACAACCAAGTTAAAAGAACTAGGAAAATCCAAGATGGTGGCATAGGTAAACTTGTTTCAACCACTTCAAAACTACAACTACAAGATAAAACAGACAACATCTAGAACCACAGGAAGACTGAGTGGAAATTCTACAACCAGAAGGGAAGAGAAAAGCACACTGAGACTCAGAGGCTGTGCGAAAGTGCAGAGGTACGAAGGTGCGAGCGTGGAAAGGGCTGACAATGGAGTACGCAATGGTCTTTCTCAATCAGGAGGCAGACACAAGCTCCTAACTGCTCTGAACTCCAGTTCTGGACGAGACTCTGGGGACTCAGATTCATACAGGGAGAAGCTGGACTGTCTGGCGTCGAGAGGAACTCAAGGGCAGCTTTTTGTCAGAGGTGCTTGCAGTGATTACCAAGGGACACTGAGACCCAGGGGCCTCTTAAGGCAGGGCTGACAGGAAGCCATTGCTGTTGGCTCCACCCTGAGACACCGCACCACCCAAGCTGTGCACAGAGGCTTTTGCATATGAATGGCCTGGTCCTTAGACATCTAAAATTACCTAACCAACTACAGCTGAGTCAGAGAGACCCAGAATATCCAAAATAAGGCCCAAGTCCCCACAGCAGCTTGCATTGCTTCACAGCTGGGCCTCATCTGGGCACTTCCAAAACCGAAACAAAGAAGAGGAATCTGCAGATCTCTCTGTAGCTTCGGCTGGGTAGCCTCAGGCAGAGGCTAAATTAGCACCTCCTTGGAGATCCAAGAGCCAAAGTACCCAGAGGTCCGAGTGGGACCATCCAGATTACAAATCCTAGATCCATAAGGGACACACTCAGGTGTCAGACTCAGTGAGCACCAAAGCCCCACTGAAGCAAGTTCTGCCCCATAAGGGTGTCTCCAGCACAGAAGTTCTCCCTTCATATACACAGCTGATCCTGCAAGCCAATTGGCCAGGAGATCAATTCCTCCCAGTGATACCAACAACAATCAAGACCTCTGGGACAACTTCAAGCGTACCAACATCTGAATTATGGGAGTGCCAAAATAAGAGTGAGAACAAGATAATGAAAACCTATTTGAAGAAATAATGACAGAAAACTTCCCCCACCTGGTGAAAAAAATAGACTTACAAGTCCAGGAAGCATAAAGAATCCCAAACAAAAGAAATCCTGAGAATCATAATACTCAGCTATAAGAATATACTTTAAAAAAAAAAAAAAAAAAAAAAAAAAGAATATACTTAAAATTCTGAAGTCAATCCATAATAATAAGTATTTAAATTGGTTCAAATTTTTTCACTATTCTAAAAAACAGTGCATAGATCCTACAAACATATTCACTTATATTCTCAGAATATTAAGAAATAAAAATAGTGGTTTCAAAGGGTATACATACAATATATTCATTTTAGACGACCCCGTACCCCCCCTGTGCACCGGGCCTCTAGTTAATTATAATAAAATAGACAAATCACTAGAAGTAAATATGTACAATGCAGGGGGAAAAAAACACCACCTATACCTACTTATAGATAGGA